TTGCAGGACTACATTCGTTGAGAGCTATGCTACACGATGTATTATTATGTCCATTATTCGTACTCTGTATTTACCTTTCTTTGATGATTTATATATAATTTAACAGTGTTTCGGCTATCTTGATTTATATTATACACAACTATTTGTTTCTAGCCGTACTTATTGTGTAATGGAGTGTATCTGGTGGTATTGAATCTGTTCAACCATGAAGCCTCCGTGGTTTAATGGTTATGACGCTCGCCTTGAGAGCTATGTTACACGATGTATTATGTCCTGTATTCGAACGCTGTATTTACCTTTCTTTCTTTGATGATTTATATATAGCAACATAAGGGGTGAGACTGAGGAAGTTTTGGGACTCCGAAGCAGACCACAGGGACTTTAATGCTAGAACTAACAATGAACCTAATTTTATTGTCAACGACAACACTAAATATTTAAATATAAATTATCAAGCGCCTTGAGCACTTTAGTGGAGATGTGCGCTTAATAAATCTTATTTATTATTATTTATTATTATTATTAAAGACGATATTCCCTTACTGCGTATTAATAAAGATAGTCAAAATGTCGATACTCATAGTAGAATGTTACAAAAACTCAAGTATGCGTATTCTTAATGGCAGAAAATTCGGTGACGTAAATGGAAGTGTAACATGTTATGGTCACCGTGGAAACCCCATTACGATTGATTATATGCTATGTACATTTGATGTTATAAATGATATTGATATTTTTAAAGTTCATGAGTTGTGTCCATATTCAATTCACTATAATATCATGTAATATTCGATCAAATGGTTATAAACTCAACAAAATTTCAAGTTATAAGGACTCCCTTCATGAAGCTTCTAACATTATATGGTGATATAGATCTAATAATTCCTGGAAGCGTATTGCAGAATTGCCCAATTCACAACTTTATTTTAATCAATTCGAAAGTAACTTCCGCAAAAATACTTTTAATATCGACCGCATTATTGATAATTGGTACCGTGGCATCAATGATATGGGTAAACGAACGGGTATCGCTAGAAAGCTCAGCTTTTCAGAGGGTAGCAATAGATAGTAATAAAAATAAATCTAAAAAATGGTTTGATAGTGAGTGTAAACCTATGCTTAAACATCTTTAACAAAACTGTTAGGTTAGTTTGAAGCAACACAAACAATTTAAATCTACTTAATTTTTACCGTAAACAGCGCAAAAAAATACTTTAGGCTACTTCAACAGAAAAATAGATTATTTAAATATACCATATTTAATAAATTAGAACAACGCTGACCCAAAATAATTTTGGAAATTATATAATGATCTTATTTCATTTGAGAAACAAGACTCTAAAATCAATATCACTCCCAAAGAATGGTGGTCTCATTTTAATAATCTGATGAATACGCAAGGCAACCACAAAAACCCAGCATTTGAAACATTTATTAATAACTTTTCCACTTTTAACAGTCAACATAAATATATACTTGATGCTAACATCACAGAAATGGAGGCACTAAATGTAATTAGCCGTCTTAAAAATGGTAAAGCGGCTAGCCTTGATGGAATTAGGAATGAAATGCTTAAAACCTGTTCTAAATTATTTAGTCCATTCCTTTCTTTACTTTTAGCGAAATCCTCGGTTCTGGTAATTTTCCTGACTTATGGCGCACAAGCTCCCTAATACCTATACACAAAAAGGGTGACAAACATAATCTGGGTGATTATCGTGGTATTGCTGTAAGTAGCAACCTATGTAAACTATTCTGATTGATCCTTGCTAACTGGTTAAATGTTTTAGTGGAAAATAACAAATTGATACCAAGAAAACAAATTGGATTTAGAAAAGATGCTAGGACTAGTGATCACATCTAGTATTTAAAACGATTATCGATAAATACATTAACAAAGGCAACAAATCATACTTATTTGTCTGTTTTGTAGACTTCAAAGCTGCCTTCGATACAGTATGACGAATGCACTTTTTTTTTGTTAAACTGAACAACTTGGGTGTTAGCGGTAACTTTTTAAATATTTTGCGTAATATGTATACAAATGTCTCTTTCTCCATAAAATGTAATAATAAGCTGACAGATACGTTTACTACGTCTATGGGTGTTAAACATGGATGCAACTTAAGTCCGTTTTTATTAAATTTTTTACATGATTTACCTTCAATAATCAACGCCGCATGTGGTCAAGTTAGCCTGAATGGTTCTCCTCTTTCCTGTCTTTTATACGTAGATGATCTTGTGGTTATCTCAGAGAC